CGTTCTAGAAGCATTTAGCTTCCTGACACTAATCTTGATCCTGATCCTGATTCCGATCCCGGCCCTGGCGCCGCAGTTGTCCCAAGTTGCTTTGTGGCCCAGAATACTATATACGCAACATCCCTATCGTGTTCCGAGGCCGGCAAGTACTGCCACTGGTTGAGATGCTTGAACCACGCTCTGTTCGGGACATAAGCCTCGAGCATGTAGTAATTATCCCTGTGGAAGGGGATATCGTTACTCGGTGGTCCACTCCGCTCTAGGAATAAGTCTGTACCAGCTTCCATGTCCTCTTTGGTCATATGAAAGCGAGACTTCTTATTGCCCTTGTTGGCAGCATGTCGACGTATCGACCTTGTTGTCGAGTCCAGGTGAGCTTCCAATAATCGAGCATGCCAGAGTGGACTGCGAAAAGCCTTGCGTGCAATAGCGGCATTGGAAGCTATCAGGGTCTGGTTCCACTGTGGCTGTCCACCTCGCGGGATCATTGGGATTGGATCTCCCGTATCCAGATTTCGCTGCCAGTGAGCGAAATCGACGATTAGGCACAGACCCGACCAGCGCAACAGACAAGTGAGGCATGTGCAGATCTCGGCGGGATCCGGGGTCTGAATGTGTTGGTAGGGCTTCTTCCGAAGCCACCGAAGCTCTCCTCGTTCAGGGTTCTGTATATGAACTCGAATGCTGGGATCGATATTTTCCATGAGTACGGGCAGCCTAAAGCATTGACTCAGGCAGACATAGCGCCAGCTTGTGATAGCCCGGGCAAGTTCGCGTTCCTGCTGAGTGATGAATGAATGGAAGGCCCGGTTGACTCGTTGGAGATTGAAGATATCGCTAGGTCGGAGCAGTGATAAGATTGCAAACATGAGTTCATAGGGCAAATTTGTAAGATATTCAGATGGATGAATTGTCTTCTTCCCTTTCTTTGCTTGCTTCTTCCGGACCCTTTCGGTACGTTTAGAACGAAGAGCGAGGGCCTCGGTTTTGTCTTCCAACAACCCTAACTCCTCCTCATCGGACACGTCTAGCTTCCGCATGATAGATATCCGGAGTCGGGCTGCCCTACCTTGATAGGTGGTGATTCAGCTGTCCTGGGAAATTTGTTTGAAAGATGGATGAGGGAATGGATTGATTATCGCATCGGAGTTATGACTGTGAGCGAACCAGGCACCCATGCGAGTAAACCTTATCGGAAAGTTTCGAGACTATCTCGATAAATACATAGCTACTGAAAGCGGCATGTGAAAAGACTTAGTACGTCCTTAAATCCGAGGTCACCGCTAAGTGAATTTATATGTATATCAACGTCATATAGACCTGGGCGTAACTTGGCCATAACATGGACAATTTACCCCTAAGAAGCTTCTATAATCCTGGATCTAGACTCATATTGCCCTATAATACGATAGTAATACTACCGGTATATGCAGAAGAAATATTATCTCGGGGTTCCAACGAGGAATCGAATATCAGCGAAGCATGGGACGTTTATCGGATTGCGGCGAGATTGCGGCGACATTTCGCTTAGATCTTTGATCAGCTTAACGGAATGCGGAGTAACCTTCACTTAATTAATAAGTGGAAGATACTAGGTACTGTAGATAAAGTAAGGGTATTCCTAGGATTGATCCAACGTAACCATATCGTCAGATCTAGGACCACTGAAGGACCATCAACCTCAATATATAGTACAAGAGCGACTTGATTCCACTCGCGCTTCGAATGTTCAAAATTATCTAGAACTCGCATTCGCCATGGCTATTGTACACATTGTCTCGTTTAAATTCAAAGACCTCGTACCGGCCGAGGAGGTCAAGGCTGTGAGTGGCGAGAGCTTGAATGGTATAGCATAAGGCTAACCCCGTCCTAGGCGTGCGAAAGGATGCTAGCTCTGGGAACAAACTGCATTCATCCAACATCCCAGAAAACATATATCAAAGTCATCGGTGGAGGAAAGGATAATAGCCCCGAAGGCAGACAGGTCAGATCTCGTTCTATTTTAATATCTCCTATTTGTTTTATTAATACAACACTTAAATATTACTCCCCTTTAGCTGTCCCTTAGTTGAAGCGAACTAATGTGTTTGATGTACTGATACTTAACAGCATGGAATGACACACTCATTTGTCTTCCAGTTCGAGTCCGTAGAGGACAGAGACTATTATCTCGAGAAAGATCCAGCTCATCTCGACTTCATTTCGACCATCAAGGATCTAGTTGAGGATGCCCATGTTATGGACTTTATCCCTGGCGTATTCTAAGACCCCTTCATTTTGCGAACAAAGTGATGAATGTAGCATTGCGGGACATGGTGGAGAAGTGGGAATGACGTCGAGTTGATTGGTTTCTATTCATCTATTCAGTACTAAAATAATAAAAAGGTGTTAGAACGGTATCGGTGCTAGAGCCAATTAGGACTAATTACAGCCCTACGTCATCCCCCACCTAATAGCGTTGGGTCTCTTTGAACATTAAACGGTAGAAAGTACCTACCTGCACTAAATTGTAGCATGTAGCACATATGGTAGTGGTGGTGGTACCCAGCAATGCAAACATACTACTACCAGACAACCCAATCTCTAACCCAAGACCTACGCTTCTTTTCTACAACACAGTGATTGGTTTCTATGGTCTTCTGTTGACAAAGGATCGCTCTTCATCTTTCTCAATTGATACATCTGTACTCTTATCATTTCAAGATTCAGGAGGCACTCTCCTTTACGTTACGACCAAGAAACCAAGACGCATCCATATCTCTTTTCCCATCTCGACATTGAACCCCACCACCATTTCCTACCAGCACCACCCATCAGCCCATATTTCTATTTGCCATCCTACTACCTCACCGATTCTAGTTGAGACGCGCAAACGACGCGGTATTGAGTTCTTCAACCACCGCCATTGCCATTTTCCTATTCGACAGAATCAATAGCAAGGATGTCGCAACAACAGACAGCACCGATGCTCATCAACATCCCACCCCCACCGTCTAACCCGGACACACCAAGCGACATGCCGTACGTTTCCCTACTCAATAGTCTGTCGCCTATTGTGCTCTACTAACAAGATATATTCACAGGGGCACTCCGACAAGCACTACTACCTCTCTCTCCGCCCTCTCTACAACTGCTATCAAAGACGGACATCGAGGTCACACATACCACGGCCTCGGAGGTCCCCGTGGCCATCAACACCACTCCTCGACGAACAGTCTCGAAGCAGAGCGCGCCGACCGCATCAGCCGTCTGGCCGGTCTCGAGCGCGTGTCCACGCTTCGCGCCCCGAACCAACAAACCCATAGCAGCGGGAACTCACCGCAAGCTACGTCGAGCTCCACCGCCGCACTGCAGGCTGCAGGCCTGACACCCGCCTACTTTGATTCAAACGGACAGCCAACAGCGATCACTAAGATGAGCACCGTGGGCACAGCCTCCGCCACAGGCAGCGTCGGCGCACGCACCACGACCGAAGCCGGAGAACAATATGAGATGGACGCGGACCAGACTGAGGTGGACGAGGATGGCATGAGCATGGACACGAACTACCGGACGATGGATGTCGACTCCACATCGGGCGCTATGGACCCTATGGATGAGGACATGGCGAGCCGCTCTGTGGGTGGGTTTGAGGACCGTATGAGCGACGATGGTACGGCCAGCCTCGTCGGCTTCGGCGAGGGCGCCAACAGCACCGTCAGCGGTCCCATCTACCACCGCCGGCCACTACCCGGCACCGCTGGCGCTGCGGGCATTTGGGGCCTAGAGCGCAGTAGCTCAGGTCTCAGCCAGGAGGCCATGATGCGCAACCGTGAGATGCGCGATGCTGGCAGTGACACGCCGGTCAGCGCGTCAGCTGCCGCAGAGGCGCGCCAGGCCAAATACGTTGATGGCGTTGCGGTTGATGGCGGCGGTCATGTGGGCACATCCGACGACGATGTGTTCGTCGACACCACGACGCGCGGGCCGGTCCCCGTACAACCCGGTCAACCCCGAACAAGCGCACTGCGGGAAGGTGTGGGTGGACCCGCATCGCGGGAGGCAGCAGAGCGCATTGTTCGCGAGCGCCTGGACGGCGGAGAGGGTGGCCGAGCCCCTGTCCTAGGAAACTCGAAGGACGGTGATAAGCTGGGCAAGTTCTACTTCGAGGAGAAGAAATAGGCGACCACATCCCTAGCTATCTCCTCACTCTGCTTTTCTTATTCTGGCGTTGCTAGGAGTTCTGTCGGCGTACTACGGAAAAAGACCATACCTATGGCAAGAGAGACGGTAGAGGGCGGCTCGACTGTCTTCGCCTGCCTATTCGAGTGAATACTGGTCACGGAAGAGGCACATACGCACGCCCACGCATACCTACCTGCTGTGTGCTAGACTTGGGAGAGGACTGCTGGTTAGGGTGGACCATACCTATCAGCTTGTATGTTATTGAGTAACTGCGGGAGCATGTGATTACGGGATTACATGCTCAACGCAGGTTTGCTTTGTAATATGATTCCGGGCGGCTTCTGCGTTGTTTTCATGATGACTTGTAGTTCGTAAGGGACTCTTCGTACTATGTTTCCTGTGTATGTGATGACATTCGATGTTGGGTGATAAGGCATGAAGCGTTCCCTTCCCTATAACTCTTGGCTCCTTTACGGTAGAATCAACGTATGTAAGCACGGCTTACGAAAGAATCACCACAGGTTATACCCATGCTATTCCTCGTCTTGCGATATTCCGGAAGAGCTACGCTATAGCCCCACACTTGTCTCGATACAGGTATAGAGGCACCAGTGTCTCGGAAACTTAGTCTTACCAAGATCCACACTACCTACACACACTAAGGGCTCAATCAGAAGAGCACTAGCCTCTCGCATTCATAAATAAAAAGAAAAGCAAACTGCAAAAGTTATAAGATTCAGCTACTGTTGCATTATTCCATGATGGCGCAGAGCGTATAGGTCCCCCATGTATCGATATTATATAGCGTCGTAGCTTCGAAAGCCAAAAAAAAGAAACGCCCACGGTGAGACTCGAACTCACAGCCTTGGGATACCTTTATATATAAAAGTCACACGCTCTAACCATTGAGCTACGCGGGCTTGATTAGTCAGTATACGGAGTAGCATTATATACTAAGCGTTGTTGCGTACGTTCCGCATCGCTGCCTCCCCTGAACTCTGTTTGTCCAAGGGTGACTCATCTACTATATATCTCCTCCCTGTCTGATCTTGATAGCCTTTTGAGTTCTTCGTCGTTCCTTCTATCTTCTATCAAACCTTACTTACCCCCGCCATTTATGTGCCCTTAGCCTGGTGGGTTGCAAACGTGCCATCTTCATCTCATTAATCATCAGCATCCTCTACATTGATCTACACAATCGTGACATCGACGAGCTTCGAGACATCCACCCTGAAGAACCTCTGCCCGGACGCGTTTGTTATCCTGAAGTCCTCGCCATCCATTGCCCCATGGAGGTAACACTCGCCAATAAACTCGTACGTCGACGAGTCCTCCTCGCCCGCGCTAGTAGCTCGAGATCCAGAGTTGGTTCCTTCTCCCCCCGTATTTTGCTCTCCACCCTCTGCCGGCGTAGTCCCTGACCGGGGTCGTAGGACGTCCGGGAACAACCCGCCTATGCAAGCGACCACCAAATCACCATCCTGCACGCCGCCATGGTCACGCAGGTAGTCCTCCTCGTTGATTCCAGGGAGTTCGCCCTGCATAGCCCGCGCCAGCGCCTCTCCCTGTGCCGCATCTCGCTCGAGCACGAACTGCTGGAACCCCCTCAGCAGGTTCCCGCCCAAGATACCGTTCGCCTGACGGCCGAAATCCGCCCGCCGCATCTCCGCCCAGGGGTCCATGGGTTCCTGGTCTTCCCCGACTAAGCCGGGGTCGGCGGCCACGGCGTCCTCGATGGCGCTCATGCCGAACCGCCCGCTTTCCGTCCGGAAGAACCGCCGGCCTAGCGAGTGCTGCATGAGTAAAGCCTCGTAGGGCTCGGCTTTGCCAAGTCGCTGGGCTAGCGCTGATAGCTCTGGCGAGTTCCGGATGCGCTCTAGGGTCTCCGGTGAAGTCTGCAGAGTATCCCTAGTGCAGCCCAGTTCCTTGAACAATTTCTCCTCGGCGAGCAGACCGTGGAAATGGACCCCCATCATGGACGGCGGCGGGACGTTGTCGCCTAATGTTTCTCCCGCCTTACCCCCATTGAGGATGAGTGTGCGCCAGAAACGCTCGTCTCTTTGCACGGACGTTTCGGTGGTGGATGTGTGAGGAGGCAGTTTCTGGAACTCGGAGAAGCATAGTCGTCTGCAGCTACCGGCGTTGAAGACGGGCGATACGTGTACAATACGGTCGAGCGGCCGTACTTGAAGGTGTAACTTGTTCTCGGATATAGTGATCGGCTTCCTTATGCTAGGCGTGAGATCCTCCCACCACGCGCGTAGACCGCTATTCACATTGAATAGCATGTTGCTGGGACTCTTGGGCGGAATGGATTTGAAATCTGGTACCCAGCTCGGCAGGCCCCTTACGCGTCGCTCACGAGGCGGGCGCTCATTGTACCAAAGCATCAAATCCTGGCGCTCGAGGATAGAGTATCGCGCAGCTTCTGTGAAAACTTGCTCTACGGTCTTCGTGTAGTCGATCCCAGGCAACGGCTGCGGGCCCGCCTTGTGATATTTGACGCGCCCGGACGGCGTCGCAATCAGCTGCATGGAGAACACGCATTCTCTAAGATCCGCAGGCTGACAACCCCGTGCCGTATGTATCATGGGTAACAACTCAACAGACTCGCCAAGGCGCCTCCTCCGCATTGCGATCTCGATTTCGTTAGCGACCGTAAAACCCCGCATCACATTTGGAAGCAGTGGCACTTTGAAGAATTTGGCCTGATAGATGGACAAGGCGCGCGAGGAGAGGATGTAGGCGGGCCACCGGATATTGCTCCGGCCGCACACGACGATGGGCGTCTTCGCAAGCACGATCTCCGCGATGCACTGCACGTTTTCCCAATACGACGCGCCGAAGACGTCGTAGATGACTCTCCAGTGGCGGAAATTGAACGAATCCAGGTCGTTGTACGGGCAGCTCATGAGCTGCTCCCGGATCCCCGCCATCTGCTGCACGGTCGTGCGCGAGAACCTCGCGTCGGGGTCCACCCCGACTTCTCGGAGTGCCTCGGCTATCCGGCGTCCCATCTCGTGGATGGTCTCGAAGGCCTTAGTCGTAGCCTCCCCTTTGTCCGGTCCCAGCCAACATAACGTTCGCTCGGCATTCTCTAGCACGGCGCGCTGGGTGCTCGCCTGTGCGCTACGCTCCTCGACTGTGCGGCCGACCAGGACATCGGCCCAGAATGTTCGCGGCTTCTCCTTACGCCGGAACGTGCGTAGTGCGCTTTCGAGTGTTTTGGGGATTTGCTGGTCCTCGCCGTCGACCAAGACGGCCACCGTATCATCGGCGGGTTCTGCGTCCTCGCCGGTGGGTTTGAATGAACGGTCATACGAGATGACTTCGTACGAAGTCTCTTTCAGAACCGCATCCGTGAGGCTCAGATCAATGGGCGCCTCCCAGTCCGCGGCCGGTTGCAATACGGCTAATCTAGCAGTTACGTCCTGCTGGCCCATGAGGTTCGAAAAGGGGTTGCTCGCCGACATGATGTGAGAAGTTCACGTGGTCTAGTCTGGCTAAGGCGTGAATGGATGAAATGAATAAATCTGTAGTACCGTCTAGTGCTCAATACACTGGTATCACATTCGTCGCGAGTATCTCATAATATACCCCTCGTGTTAAAGGTTTGTCCCCGAATAGTAGACATCGCTGCCTATCATGTCGCAGCCTGGAAAAGACGACCTTGTCGAGATTCGGCTGGTCGTTGAGGAGTCGTTAGTTAGCTTGGTGTTGTATCTGCCTGCGCCTACGCCGCCCGCTAACCCGACCGGGCTTGTAGCCTAGATCCTCAATTTCGCTTCGGGGCACCCGCTAATTCGTAGTTCAATGGGGTCATTTACAGCTTTGCATATATCGCCAGACGCAACCAAGTACCTACACGTAGGTAAGTACAATTTCTGATGGTTGAAATATCCGAGAATATCATGACAAGTGAGGAATACAGCGCAAAAGCGCTTTAGAGATCTAAACGCCAAAAGAGGGTTTTCGTCATGGGATAGTCATTATTGCATATTATAGAATTAGAGTAACTATTATTACTATAACGAAGCTTCGGCGCAGTAATCTAACCAATGCCAAGAGGCGAATCCGTTTAGCAACCTGAAACCCGAAGACAATTCACCGAATCCATCCATGAACGTCGTCGCACGCTACTGACATAAAACGATTCGCGATGCCCTATAGCTGAGACACAGAAATTCCAACCAGCTATTTGAAGAGTATGATTATCCCATACTCAAGCATGGATGGCTACTTGGACCTGGGGATAGACCCGGACCATCGCGTCATACAAGTCGGGATGGTTCTGCATCAAAGCTTGCGGTTCCCACGCCGTCGCCACGAAGATCGTGTCGATTCCGCTGCTTATCGGCGTAGTAAAGATGTTGCAGATCTGCAGGCCGATGAGGAAGGCGAAGGCTACCACAACTATTTCCACACGAGTTAGCTAATTGACACCAGTAAACGGACTGGGGACTTACCGGGTGTGTAGGAGCCATCGGCATTATACGCGGGACGGGTGAAGACCAGGTATAAGTACGCCAACAAGCTAGTCGCATAGCCAACAAACGTGGCTCCCATAGAGAGGACCGGACCGATGAGACATTCGTTGACGAGAGCGTCGATGCCGCGGTCTTTGATCATATTCCACGTGTCCTTCGCGGCGGCGAGGTAAGGCTTCCCATACAGAGCGATATACGAGAACGCATAGCGATTGAGGAACTGAACCGCCCAATCCAGGATTCCAATGATGCATCCCAGAATCCAGAACATGATGGTCCCTACGATGTTACCCTGCGCGGCCTCGTTGTGCTGAGCAACGGAACATATTTGCCGCAGGAAATTGATGATTGCCACGACCAGGGATCCGAAGGATATGGAACCAAAACTATACGTCAGGGCTCGTCTGAGACTACCCCGGGTGGCACCCCTGGGGAGGTTTTGCGGGTGGAAGTACCAAGAGCCGTAGACTCCCGAGATGGTAGTGTGGATGGTGTTTTTCAGCCATTCCGAAATCCAGTACATTGCAAAAGTAATGAACACGAGGAGTCCAGTGACCTTGGCGCTACTGCAGCCACCAGCTCCTTGCGCGCACGCCGGGTTCTGACCCGGCGAGTACTTCGCGTATACGGCTACGAAGGTGGCTGAGTACCATGCGGCGAGGGCAGTCGCACATAGACCACCGAGTGCGCTGACGAGATAGACATGGCCGTAACTTTTAGAGACATCGACGGCAGTCTTGAGCATGAGTGCGCTAAAAGGGATGCGCGGAATCCAAGTCTAAGGCGGTGGGTGAGCAAGGGGCATGGTGGGGGAACGGAAGGGAAGACTCACGATGAAGGCGAAAACGAGGAAAGCCACGAAGATCAAGAACACGATACCACCGGAGTAGTAGTGGCGAGAGAGCATATAAATGGCTGTGACAAGACCAAAGACGATATTGAGAATACCACTTCAGGGGACTGGCGTCAGTCTCATGTACCCCATCAGGCACTTCGCGCGTTCTGACTTACGTTATCCAGATGAACTGCTTGGGAAACTGGCGGGCCAGTAACACGTAGACGTAGCTGAACACGATAGCGACACACAGGCAGAAGACGAAAAGGATGAGAGTGTTCGTGTTCAGGCCGACCTGCGATGCAGAATCGTAGATGCCGCCTCCTTGGAAACCCTTGGTGGAGGCTATGATGTGTTAGTAGTCCGGCTGAGAAACACACAACTGACATGGAATTATAGGGTTCACCAACCATAGCCGTTGATCGCGATTCCAGAGACAGCGACGTAACCCGCGCAGACGATAAGGAACTGAGAAAATTAGCGACTTGGTTGGTAAAGATGTAAACTCAGAGATAACGCACGAGAATACCGGCCCAGATATCGTTGTACTTCGGGCGCTCCAGCTTGAATGCTTGGTCGAACATGGGTTTCTCATTGA